GGACCGGAACCGTACGGACTGGTTTATACTGGTTTATACTGGTTTATACTGGGAGGGACTGGGAGGGGTTTGGGAGGCAACTGGGAGCACTGGGGGGGGAACTGGGAGGGACTGGGATGAACTGGGAGGCTACTGGGCCTTACTGGGAGGGCACTGGGATATACTGGGATGGACTGGGAGGGCACTGGGATGAACTGGGAGGGCACTGGGGTATACTGGGACATACTGGGATGAACTGGGAGGACACTGGGAGGTGACTGGGATGAACTGGGCTGGACTGGGTTATACTGGGATGAACTGGGAGGGTAACTGGGCTGAACTGGGATGAACTGGGAGGGCACTGGGAGGTTACTGGTCCATACTGGTCCATACTGGTCCATACTGGTCCATACTGGGCGTGCATTCCCCCCGCCCTTTTGGGGGGAGGGGGCGTGGCTTATCCCGCACTGGCCCCGCCCCCAGCCATTGGCCACGCCTCTGCTCTCACCCCATTGGCTGCCTGGCCCCGGCTCGCCCTGCTGGGATTGGCTGAGACCCCACTTGGCTCCGCCCCCGACGGCCCCGCCCTCCTGGCCGAGCTCCTCCCTGCCGTTGACGTCACCTTCAGCTGATTGGCTGCCGCCGCTCCTGGCCACGCCCCCTTCCCAGTTGACCACGCCCCCTTTCCCGCGGGTTGGCGGTGGCGCTTCCGGGTTGGGGGCGTGGTTTGGGGTTGGCCACGCCCCTTTCTGGTTCGGCCAGGGCACTTCCGGGTTCGGCTCCGCCCCTTTCCGGCGTTCAATAAAGCGGTGACTCCCAGTTTGTCCCAGTTCGTCCCTCCCAGTCACCCCCAGTCACCTCCCAGTTCCTCCCAGTATAAACCAGTAACCCCCAGTCCCCTCCCAGTCCATCCCAGTCCCTCCCAGTATAAACCAGTAACCCTCAATCCCCTCCCAGTAGCCCCCAATGCCCTCCCAGTTCATCCCAGTTTGTCCCCCAGTCCCTCCCAGTATAAACCAGTAACCCTCAATCCCCTCCCAGTAACCCCCAATGCCCTCCCAGTTCACCCCAGTTTGTCCCCCAGTCCATCCCAGTCCCTCCCAGTATAAACCAGTAACCTCCAGTCCCCTCCCATTAACCTCCAGTGCCCTCCCAGTGCCCTCCCAGTATAAACCAGTTCCATCCAATCTCTTCCCAGTTCCCTCCCAGTCCGTCCCAGTGCCCCCCAGTTCCCCCCAGTCCCTCCCAGTTCCCTCCCAGTCCCTCCCAGTTGCCTCATCCTAACCCCAAACCTCCGCCCCGGTTGCGCCACCGCGGGTGGGGGAGGGGCAGGTGGGGGGAGGGGG